GAACAAGCACTGGTGATTTGCGTTATCCACTATTACTTTAACTTCTTTTGATGGATTCTCTCAATAACATCATCGCTTGTCATGTGCCTGCAGTCGAACTATACGTAAGAGGTGACGATTATGAATTATTTAAATTAATAACTAGCCTTTTCAACGAAATTAAGAATTACGAAGCTCGCAAATAAGTGTTTAGGAACTTATGACTGATAGGCCCGAAGAATTTTTTCGACTGTTTAGTTCGATTGCTGTGCCAAAAAGGTTGCTGTTCCTCTCAAAAGGGAAATTAGATTACGATTTTCTAATTTCGCGACCCGATTTTTTTTCTTGACTCTAGGTAGTTTGGAATGATTTCCAAAAAGCAAGTTTTGTCTTAGCTTGGGGGAAGGGGGAGGATGTTAAAGAGTTCAGCAGCTTTTTAAATTCTCATACTGTCCCCTTAAAAAGAAAGAAAAAAATGTTGTGATCTAAAGCTCACCTTCGAGCAAGGTAAACGATGAAGCTCATAAGAAGATGTGAAACACTGTAAGAAATAAACGTTTGACACGTAAGGAATTGGAAAGACACTTGAGCTTCTAGAAATCGACTTTCTCTAAACAAAGAGAAACAAAGATAACTTACCATCTTGTCTGTGGCCCCGTAACATCTTTGAATCGACCATAATCTGAGTAGCAATATACGACTGAAAGCAAATAAAGAGAAGACTATCTGTTTACCAAAATGAGCAAATAAACCCCTTCAGGCGGCTTGGATGTCAGCTGATGGCTGATAATGTCTACGGCTGATAGACTGTCCGACGATGAATACTTGGCCGAGAAGCGAAGCTTCGAGGGAAAATATGAAATTTTGAGAACACTCTCAGCCAAGGACAATATCAGCCGACATACCAGTTGGCCATTCAGTTATAACCCTCTCTTTAAAATTCATAAGGCACGAAAAAAGCTCGTAAAAAGCCAGTGGCGGATGCGTATTTGCGACCAGCTTTATAGCATAACCAGTTTTCGTCCGCTGGCTTTGTTTCTTTTCGACGGAAATAACTTGAGGACAAATATCGATGAAGACGACTGGTTGATGATTTTGCCCCACGTGACATAAAGTAGCCTATGAAATTGCGCCACAGAAGCTTATGACCTGGGTAATAATCTCGCGAAAATTAATGAGTGGCTTATAACTGACCAAAACTGACTCATGCAATAGGAATTCTAAAACTAAACAAGTGCACGCTGGCAAATCTAGACAAGAAAAAGTTCTCAAATTATGCTCGGACAACGCAAATAGTCAGACTCGGATGACTTGGGTAAAATCGGGAATGATTTTCACCATCGAAAAGAGAACCATACGACTAATGGTCAAATATTTCTTGAAGCATTCAAACGGTGAGCATTTTTCTCCATTATGCATATATTCAACATGTATGTTTACCTGGATTTGTTCCATGACATCATCACCCATCTCTTCCGCCATGCGATACCTGAAGGAGACAATGGATTTTTTATATATAAGGAAGCTTTAACTTGAATGAAGAACAGTAAAGGATGAGTGGGAATGCCAGGAATGAATCCTTAGTAGTAGCCGTCCGTTCAAATATATATTTATAACGCTATTCTACGGAAATAGCAGATATGTGAAGAACAATAAAGCAGTTGCTTACACATCATGGTCAGCGCTGTTGTACATGAGAGCATTTTGAAACATTAACATCATGTCTCTCTGGAATTCGCTCGTTGTACGAATGGTCTGTAAAGAAAAAGACTGCTATTAGCGTGATAATGTAAAACAAATCGTTAAGATACGCATGCCTTTGAACCCAAAACAATCCAAAGAATGACAGACTAAACATTCGCGCTATGTTCTTACCCCATTTTCAATGTTCTTTTTTATCGTTGATAAATCCATAGGTCTGCAAAAAGATGAGACGGTTTAACTGGGGATATTTTGGTGGATCATTGTTTAATGGTTGTCACACTTAATGGTAACTTCGTTGACATTTCTGTAACAAACAAACTGCTACAATTTCCAATTCATAAACCTTTCCCAATCTTCACTTATTCTGGGGCTTATTCATTCAGAGTAGTCAGAGAGTCCCATTTTCATGATTTTCTGATGTTCACTGTAAAAGAGATACAGCAGCCTTATAGTCAGCGCGCTTGACTCCGTGTCGAGAGGCCTCAAATCGGTGGAAGGCTGTGGCTGGGTCATCATGTTGTGTTCTGTAGCAACAGCAGCACCATACCCAAGCCAACCGCTCTAGGAGAATTGCGGTCGATTAACCCTCTACATCATAACATCAGTATGCATCTTCTCAGTACCGTTCTCCATACATTTCCTGAGGTACTGACAAGGAGAATTTGTTTAACAATCGACAACTTCTTCAGTTAGTGATCATTTCCTATATTCTCGTGACTATAATGTGTGATTCAGGGGTGATCTTGAAAGGAGAAATTAGATACTCGTCACTCTTGGAGGTCAAAGGATTTAAACATCTATCTAAGGGGATTGTAAATACTCTTGGTCTATTTAAGACATAGAAACATCAGAAGCTCCGGTAACTCTGCAAGTTGTACTTGTATATACACTCTTCTCTTACATCACAAGTCGAGTCCCTTGTACGTTTTTACCTGAAAACAATGCTATGGTATCCTGGTGCCTCGTCGTCTGTAACTGGGTGCAGAAACACGTTTGCATATCTGATAAAACAAAGATAGAAATGAAATGTATTTCATTTGGAGAAGTTAAGAAGTGAAAGGAGAGCAGAGTGACCAGATGTTAACCTGGTGGATGTGCCACGGCTAAAATCCAGTTTCTTTTTTCTTACTCATTCAAGATATTGTGTGGGTTTCAAGTGATCATAGGGTACCTTTTACGATGATCACACAAGACTAACTTGTGCTATTCAAATGGAAAGCACAAAGACATATGTTGGGAAAAAAGACGCTTTACAGTAAATTGGCGCGTTCAATGGCGAACAAAAGACTACAATCAAACCCTTAGACGAAATGTGCGACATGTATCGACTTCCCTCAATTTCAATGCATTAACCCAAAACTGGAGAATGACGATGGGCAAATACATCGGGTGGACATTGAAATAACACCAGATTCTGTTCACTTATGTTTAAGGAAACCTATAACAGCTGAATGAGAGAAGTATTAATCCTGGGTAAACAATCATTCTTACTTATGATTGGCTGCAGCTCTCCAGACCAGCATTATTGACTTTTTCCATGTTTTCTGTGCCTGAATGGCTTCTTGTTCGTCACTGCTTCTAAACCAAATAAACAAGCAAACAAACACCTTACATCAATTTAAAATTAAATTTTGTACTAGAAGCAATCCACATCCACCAGCAGCACTTACCCCTGGGACACTTGAGAAGCGGGGCTACCGGGTACGGATTCAGACCCCGCCTTGTCCAACAAGAATTCTTTCATGGAGGAGCAGGGTTCATCCTTCTCAGACTGACTCCGGTCCCCTGGGTCGGACACTGCCTCGTCTCCACTCTCCCGCTCCATCTCTTCATCGCTGTCCTCCTTCTTTTCCTCTGCAATTGACTCGTTTTCTTCTTCGTCCTCTGTCTTTTCGCTGGCCTTCTCAGATTCCACATCTAATGTCTCCATTTTGGATTCCTTTATGAGAAAAAGAAATCGTGTATCAGTGAATAGCCGTCCACGAAGACATTATTACTGATTGTTCAAGAATTAGTACACAAACCAGGATAGTAAGGGAAAACGTTTCTTTACACTGTTTTTCAGGTCTAACACTAACAAGGTCTGATTTTGAGGAATCGATTCACAAGTTTTCTTTTTCACTCTCCATACCTCTTCATGTTCCTCTTCAACGTCACCTTCGTTGTCCTATGGGATGGGATGAAATCGTTAATTCTTAATTAATATAAAAAACAATTTGAGGTATAGAATGGCATAAGGAAGATTAACAGAAACAGTGACAAGTACCGTTGAGGTTGCAGATTTGCTGCGATGTCTTTGATTCCTTCTTGCTGCTCTTGGTGGTCGACCTAATAAAAGAAAAAAGAAACTTCATGTCAACGAAAAACCAACGGGTGAAAAAAAACTTACTTAACATTAAATACTGAGTTCATCCCTCACCAGGCCTCCCAGGTTTGGATGCACGTTTCTGGACTCGCGGAGAAGAGACTGGGGTCTCAATAGTCTCAACTTTTATTTCAGGGATGACCGCTGATCGTTCAGTAGAGGCTCGGGCAGTACTAGCGTCATTTTCGAGAATGTCGCTCGCAAGTTCTGTACCGCTGTTTTTCTCGGAATTCTTCACAGCTGGTTCAAACTTTTGGGCTATTATTTCCTGCAGTATGAAAACAAATAAGAAATCTTTCCTATGTAACAAGTGGCAAAATTCCTGAAAAAAAAAAACAAAAAACACAAAAACAACAAAAACTTGTTTAAGACTCGTTAAACTTACCTTCCTGTCTGCAGGAGGGGTAGTGGGTGGGGGTGTAATTGCCAAAGGGGAGGGCAGAGTTGCAGTCAGAGGAGCAGTCTGAGAAATAACAATTTCATCTTATTCTACGATAATACAATTGACAATGATAACAAAAGCTAACATCGGTGTGCAGCTCTAATGACATCATTGAAAAAGACTGGCATGTTCAAGTTTCTTTGAAACTTCGCGTGAGACGAAAACGTCGCTTCAAGATTCACACTGTAAATTGGGATTAAATCTTTGACACTAATTATATAATTTCAAAGAACGACAATGAACTTGAGAGAAGCACTTACCTTAGGATTGACTGAGATGGCTGGTACTGGTGTGGATACGCTTAGAACCGCCTGAGTGCCTGTTAATTAAATAACAGCTTCATTGAGTACTAGTTACCATCATGAGGCTCGCATGAGTCAAATGTTTAATACAATCACATATCCCAAGAAGTGCAGCTTTCAGAGCCATACTGTGTAGAGTGATTTCACAATCTTGCTGTTAATGTGGGTTAAAAAAATTCCTTCCAAGTTTGTCATTTCTTCCATACCTTACTGGCCTTTAATAAAAAAATATTCACCAGGCAAGCAAAATTTCACTTGTTTTGTTTATAAACTCTTTAGAGGGAGAGCAGCCCAACTCCAATATTAGACATAAAACTGTGCACTCTTGACATATCACTTTTTTTATACCTCCTGTAGTGCCCCTTTCACTTCCAATCACAGATAAAGAGTTTTCTACTGGTGTCCCTGTTGAAGGTTCCACCAACACTGATGAATCCATTCCTCCTAGGGTCTTAAGAAGAGTTAAAAATTAGAGTAACGAGCAAATGTCAGTAATTAGGATCGAGGAAAGGCAGTTAAGATGAAATCTGACGAGTATGCTAACCAGTTACCTACAGTGGGGTTCATACATGTAGCAGAATAAGGAAGTTACCAGTAAGTAACGAGTGGCTGCTGGAAGTTTGGAGTTCTTCTCCCTGGTGCTTACTGCAGATACTAATTGTCTGTAT